TGTCTATGGAGCTGGGGACTTGAAATGGATTGTGCAGCAACACCATCTTTTAGCAAACAAGTTTGACCTAGAAGTAGACGAAATAGCAATCAAATGTATGGAAGCCTTTTTAAGGTACAAAACTATTTATGGTCGAGAATTACTAACATTTAAAAATTGGACATTATGTATTGATGTTTTTTAATAACAGGTTCAAAATCTTTCTGTATATTTTTGTAAATCTTGTAATGGATATGACTGTACAGTAAATGTAATAGTAAATATAGTGGTTAAGGATTCATTCATTCATCCAGAAACTATAATATAAACATTTATGTATCCTAAGATGGTCATAATATTAAAAAGATGGTGCAAACTCAAATACTTTTATATTAATTTGTAAATTGTGTTATTTGTACACTTCAGAGAAGCTCTCTTTGTTGGGGCTGTCAGTTCCTAAACATTTATGTTTAATATAAACATAAGAAATAATGATCAACTGTTAACTACTTGCAGGATCAGTGCATGATATTGTGCTCTAACATATAAAAAAAGTACATGTATGTAAATACACAATGTATCTATAAATATAAAAAACAGAATTTGATTTCAGTACAATCCCTTGCAAACACAGTGTGTGTGGTTAAAGCTCACAAAAACAACCAAAAAAAAATTTCAAGATTATTTGATTTTATTTACATTTTAGAAATGTATCCAAATCTTGTGGTTCCAATCATGTATTTTTAAATAATTTTTTGGATATTGCATAGAAAACGCTTCCTCTGAATGCCTCCCTAAAGTTCAGAATTTATATCTTGCAATTCTGACTTTCTTTTTTTTTCAAAATCAAAATTGTGAGATAAAGTCGCATGTTACCTTTTTATTTTTGTATTCCATGGAAATGGTCTTCCATACTTTTTTTGATCTTCAAGGGGGAACATTGAAGATCAAAAAGGGGTAAATTTTTTATTTACAGAAAGATTTGAAATTGTATGTATATATCCCTGAGCAAATTAATGTTCATATTTTTGGGATTATACACTACTAGCCCACACACCTGCTTACTCTTACTTATTACTACAATAATATATAGTTTTAAATATTTCCCTTTAAATGCTAATGAGCTCTGCTCATCACCCCCCCCCCCCTCCTGTGGGGTGACGCACAGTTCTCTGAGAGACTGTAAACTTTAGATGCATTCATCATGAAACTTGCTAGCTAGCACATTATTAGGAAAGGCGATTTGCAAAATTCAATAAAAAACCTTATACTCACTTCTTCTGGAGGTGAAGCTGCATCACGAATGATTCGCACGAACATAGACGCATTTAGGTAGATGGGGAGGGGGGGGGGGTGCATTCCCTTCAAAAACAAATGTATTCCACTGCGTCTTCAGTGGCTCAGATGTCGGGAGTAAATGACGACTGCTATGTTCATTACTACATCCAACAACAGAACACCTCAATCCCTTAGGAGACATTCTTGTCTACCCATGATCTGGGGTCGAAACAATGGCGGACTGATGACAGCTCACTCAGAGCGGGTCTAAGGTAAAATGCAAGTGTCACTCAACTATCGTGGAATGGGCTCTGCTCACCCCCCCCCCCCCCCCTCCTGTGGGGTGACGCACAGTTCTCTGAGAGACTGTAAACTTTAGATGCATTCATCATGAAACTTGCTAGCTAGCACATTATTAGGAAAGGCGATTTGCCGGCTCAGATGTCGGGAGTAAATGACGACTGCTATGTTCATTACTACATCCAACAACAGAACACCTCAATCCCTTAGGAGACATTCTTGTCTACCCATGATCTGGGGTCGAAACAATGGCGGACTGATGACAGCTCACTCAGAGCGGGTCTAAGGTAAAATGCAAGTGTCACTCAACTATCGTGGGAGGGGCCTTGCCCAGTGTGACATCACACAGGCAGGAATCTGAGAACGGCTTGATTTTAGAAAGGGGTTTGCATTTATCGAGATTTAAAAAAAAAAAAACACTGGGTGGATTTTTATCATTATAGGGTGGTTGTGTATACACACTGCCAAGACACATTTCAGTTCAAACAACATGTAAAAGTGATTTTTGCATCCGATGACCCCTTTAAAGAGCATGCAAGAGTTAGACGAATCGTTAATATTGTTGTGGTAGAATGTCCTTTTAGCAGTGGAGACATTAGCAGAGAAGGAAGAGAGGAGTGACTGATACACATTAAGGCCAGTAGGATTTTTTGATTTGCGCCGCACACTTTCTGCAGCACTGCGCTTAGAACGATGCTCACAGAGAACATCAGATAGCCAGATTCCCCAGATCTTAATGTTGATTCCAATATTTGCTAATGCACTATTAAAATCAAAGTTGTACCTATTAATGTTATTTAATTGACCTAAGATAATCTAAACTAATTATTAACAGTTGCATTTAATAAACACTAACAGTGAATTGCCCATTGTTAGTTAATGTATTGAATATAGTTAACAAATGGAACCTTATTGTAAAGTGTTACCAAACGTATTAATTTCAATCAATCAATCTTACTGACTCCAAACGTTTGAATGGTAGTGTATGTCACACTTTGTATGTACTTATTGTTCATGTATATCTTAGGCAAACTACTATGAAAAATCATAACACTAATTAAGGGATAAAACCAAAAATAAGAGGATAAACAAGACTTTTTGAATGAAAAAGATAGCACCTGTGTGAAGGAGTGCTCAGCAGACACATTTAAAGACTCCAGAGGGAAGCGCTGTCAGCCCTGTCACAGCTCCTGTCTGACCTGCCACGGCCCTGGAGTGAGAGACTGTGACAGATGCAGTGGCTGGAGCCGGCCAGTTTACGGGAAGTGTCCGGTGATCAGCTGCCTGGAAGGCCAATATGTTGATGGTGAGAAAGTACTCCTGCCATTTAATATGAGAAAAACAACAAAAAAAAAAGGAAAAGTCCACCCTCTGTTGCAAACTTGCTGTTTAGTCTTAGATTTTTGTTTATAATAGCTGATGTAATACTGTCCACTGCTGGACATCTGGTAGTAATACACTTAAAACACTGTCAATTTTGTCCTGTAATTTAGCATTGATTTTCTAAATGTTTCACACTGAAAAGTTTAGAAATAATTTAAAATAATTTTGGTGGGCTTCAATGTTAACATTTAATTAAATATATTAATTGAAAGTTTTTTACATTTTATTTTAACATACCAGATTTGAAATTTTTGAAAGTTTCAGATTTGAAAGTTTCATTTTATAATGTTTTATTTGGGAAATCATTGAATTAACCCTTGTTGTGTAATCAAATCCTCTGCAATCCTATATAACTGCTTCAGAACTCCAATAATATATAGAGAAAAGATAAACTTTTAAGCTATATATAATGTGAATATTTTCCAGGTAAAATTGTAATAATTTTAATAACTTCAGCTTTCATTCAATGACAATAAAGATTTAATTATTTTGTGTCACACAAATATACAGCTGCCTTTATGTTTTCCAAAGATCTTTGATCGTGTTATTTATATACTATTATTAATAATTATTATTTTGGATTATCTTTCATTTTATATTTTGTTATCCGTTTGTGACATTTTTATTGTATAGCAGTTAGACACAATAACCAAGTCTTTTTTCTTACTCCGAAAGGGGAAAGTCGCACTTGCCGTTACTGTGATAGATCCTGCCTGACATGTTACGGTCCCAAGGCTCAGAATTGCATCACATGTGCTACCGGTAACGTATAGGTTAGCTTTCCTTTCCCTCCCAACTGATAAACAGACTGTCAAAGTTCCCTTTTAATGAGTTCCTGCTTCAAAAGAACTTGCTGAATAAATAAGACATTTGCCTACTTAATAGGTTCTTCGCACCTCTGTTTGCTTTCTCAAAAGGATAGATGTTGGAGCAGGAGGCCGAGTGTGTAGATTGCTCTCCTCTGGGTTTTTATGTGAACGTATCTACGTCAGTTTGGGCTTTAAGCCCAAAGTATACTTTGGTTTTCATGTGTACTCTAGGGCAGTGAATCTCAACCTTTTTGCGTACCGGACCCCAGTCCAATTCAGAACCATCCTCAAGGACCCCCAGAAAAAAATGGACTAATCTATGTATCATTTGTGTCTTTGTGAGGACCAAATGCAGTCAAGTATAATTCAAGTTAGCTGATTTGTCCAGTATTTTGCCATATCATCAGCTATATTGGATTTTTCTTTCATGGGAACATGTAAAGTCAAAATATACAAAATGTATACAAAAATGCATACTTTATACGGACTTTATACTTTGCTCAGCAGAAACAGACCTGTGTCTGGTTCTGGATCCCAACAACATGATGTGTGGAGTTACCCAGGTAAACATCAAAGTAACTTGCCAAGCATGTTATTGGCTCTGCCAGTCCAGCAAAGGACCCTCTGACTAGCAGAACCATGCTCTGCCCAACTACCTCCACAGTACGAATTACTTGAACTTACCTGAACTTATGTCAGTGCTTTTTTGGGGGGGGCATCTTTCAGATACTGTCTTGAGCTGCGCACCAGGCTACCTTCATCTGCTCTCTCATCTCTGCGTTAGCCACTGTCCCACAGGATAAGATCTTCTTATGCACACAAACACACACATTTCGTTCATCATTTGTAATTAGTTAATAGGAAAGGTGTTTGATTAAACAGAAGGTCTACTGTGGCACGAGTCACAGAAAATATTAATGATAGTTATGGGAGGAGGAATGTGTCAAAACAAAATGTACATTGTACCCTGCTGCATGTGGGGCAATATAGGTGAAAAAAAAAACAGAATATCGATGATGACTCCTACCCCAGTCGAAAGCAACTACAATGAGCATGTGACAATCAGAACTGCACCTTGGAGGTAAGGAAGAAGGTTGTTTGATCCAATGATTCTCATTTTCATTTATATCAAGTGGACGGCTGTGCATATGTGCATTGTTTACCTGTAAGACGACAACTGGTGGGAAACCTTGGGTTTGGCCATACACATGGATGTCAATTTGGTATGTGCCACCTAAATGAAATTTCATCATGGCAGTATTAGCATATTGTGCCCTGCAGGATCAGGAATCAATTGAGAAGCATTATGAAGAGTTCAAGGTGTTGCCCTGGCCTCCAAATTCCCCAGATCTCAATCCGATTGAGCATTTATGGGATGTGCTGGATCAACAAATTCGATCCACAGTGGCTTTGGTTCCCAGGGAAAGCAAGGACCAATGAAATGTAAATGTGTAATTTTAATGCAAAGTTAGCTGTCAAATGCATAAATGTAAATGTAAAATGCAGAGCCTCAAAGAAGCCTGAACTGCACTCTGATGACAAAAAGATCTGTGGTCACAATAAACAACCTCTTAACAAATTAGCTAAGTAATTAATAATAATTAAATATGACAGGATTCCTTTATCAGAACCGTGCCAGAGCATGGCTTCTTTGCTGTGTATATAATAACAAAGCATGCATTTCTTTCACTTGATGTGCCTTACTTAGGTACTTCAGCACAGGAGAGTGCTGCGAGAAGTGTGACCGTTCCTGTGAGCAGTGCTCGGGCCCAGGGCCAGACGCCTGCAGGGTGTGCACACCTCCTCTGCTGGACCTGCAGGGCACCAGGTAGTGTGTGGATCAATGTCCGCAGCACTTTTATGAGAGCAAGCACAGCTGCAGACAGTGCCACACCAGCTGCAAATCCTACACAGGTGCATCTCTTATCATTTTCACACTTCCATCACACAGTACCAATATATCTTCATTCTTATCATTATGGCCCATGGCCCTTGTTTGATCACAAAATTTTATCGCAAACAGACAGATCTGGATCTGCTTGCTGGTCTATATAACATTTCATTGTGCTAAAATGCATGCTATAGATTTAACAATGAAATAAAGCCTGTTGACCGGGCTACCAAGGAGGTACAGTATATATTAAATCTCTGAGGACGCTGCTTGGCTGACACAGGATTCCTGGAAGAACAAAACTGGAAACCAAGTAGTTAGTAGGTACTAAGCCTCTAGTGTGAATTACACCCCTATTAAATTAGAACTCAATTAGAACTAAATTTGACTTCCCACTTTTTATTTTAAAACAGCAAAAATCTGGATTACAGTGAGGGGCTTACAATGGAAGTAAATGAGGCCAATCTGAAACTCCTGTTATGATATGCACAGATAAAACATTTTTAATAAACACTGCAACATTCCATAAAAAAAATAAGAATTGTCCATTTTGATATCACGGAGACTTAAATATCTAATAGGGAATTAGAGATTTAATGTAGTGAAATTCTAACCTCAAAATAACTCTAATGACCACCTCTTTGAACGAAACAGTTGGTGGCTCACCCTTTCTCTTCTGTGTTGTTTGCAGATAACACTCCTCAGGGCTGTGTGGGATGAGGTGAAGAGAGCTGATGTTACTTACAGGCAAGTCAACAGAGCTGCAAAATACACAAGCTGCGTAGGACCCCCGAAACACCAGGGGGCCCCCTTGCTCTCAAAGATTAATTCATTTTAGTTTAGTTTTTTTAATTTGGTCAGCGGTTATGAAAACATGAATGATCATTTCTTTTAATGCGGTGCGCTGTCACCCTTTCTACGTAAAAATCAGTCAAATCATGTAACGTGAATGTCGTACAGTCTCTTGCTCAAGACTAAAAAAACTAGTTGAAAGCGTACCGAGCCGCGGAAGAGACACTGTTTCTCAAGCGCTTTCCGCGAGCTCGATTCGAGACAGAGTGAAACACGGACAAATGGGTTTCATTCATTTGTGCATAACCACTCATACCCCACTCCATAGTTTTATTGACAAAGAAATATACAGTATATATCCCTTTAAAAAGATAACAGCTTTTTACTTGCAAAATAGTGTCATGTTCATTGGCCAAACTCCAAAGCATTTTCCAGCCATTCTTGTGTAAGACAACCATTTCTGTGATTAAAACATGGATGCATATGCAGTTTAGTATTACACCAGGGTATCTGCAGGATTTTTAAAATCAAATTGAAGACTTTTTAAGACGTGCACAAGTAAAATTAATACCTAATGAGCAGGGTAGGGCAACGTCTATGGTAACATATAACCTGTAAAATGACTGTAAAAAGCATGGTTTTCAATTCAGATACAGGTTTAAACAAAAACAAAAGGATTTATAAAATTACAAACATCACATTTCAGCCTTTAAACCATTTTTAAGAAAAGGGATGAGTCAAAAGTATCAATTATTATATTAATTTAAAACATATAAATATCTTACTCTCTTAATTGTTTAGATTTTTAAAATGCATTAGCTTCTTGTCGATCCACCGGTTCACATTTACACTTTTCTGAAGACACTCGGTTCTCTTCAGAGATACATTCATTTAAAAACACAGAAAAACAGGCAACAGCAGTCAGTCAGTGCATGTCGGTAATATGTCTGCATGTTCTGCATGTCTCTGTGTGAATGAATGGCGCAGTTTGGTCTGCTATACACAAACTCAAACACATGTAAATGTAATAAATTTTACCAAAAATAATATATCCTGTAGATCACCTTTATCAGATTGTCCGGGTCTATCAAGCATGGCATCACATCTTCATCTGACTGTGAGGAGCCATACTCAGCTCAAGTTCTCAGTCCTGCGACATTGTATTATTTAGCTTTACTTCAGCTTAACTTTAACTATTGCTTTAACAACATATCACATTTATAATGAGGTTATTAGACTTTGGATTCGATCAGTGAACCATGATAAATGTTATCACCATTAATAAGTAACTGACATCACCTGATCTAATTTATTGTGGCTTCCTTTACCACAGCAAATATGTTTTCCACACACTGTTACAATAGACAAAGAAAAACTAACATAAAAAGTCAAGGGCCTTGACTTTAGGGCCTTAAAGTCAGCATTAAATCAGAATTGACTTGTGGTCAACAAATCAAGTAAATCAAAATCTGAAAATTTGCTTCCTCTCTGGATCTAAATGGCTGTTCTCTCAAATATTATAAGGGTATAGGGACGATTTAGGATCCTCCCGCCCCCAAGTCTGGGACATGGGACAGTAACACTTATAATTTTACAGCTGCAAACATAACCCATTCATCTCTAACAGCTCAATAAATCTACTTCAACATTATAATCACTATGTTTCTGTTGTTTTGCTTTGTCTTTGGTGGAAAAATGACATTAAATTTAACAGAACAAGTGCAGTTCCCCAAGAAACATTTTAGTTTTTGGTGCAGAAGTATCAGTAGATTACAAGATCACTAGATAAGCTAGAATTGTAATAGGCTATAAAAAACCGTTGGAGTTAAAGAATAGTTTCTCTTTTCTTTCACCTTTCTCTGTCTAGCTTGTACTTATTTGAACAATGCTTGAAACTTGGTATGACGAGCACTTCCTGTGTCTATTTGCCTCTTTAAGAAGAATCGCTTGATGTATTCCCCAATTGTTAGTCACTTTGGATAAAAGCGTCTGCTAAATGAATAAATGTAAACTCATGTCGGACTACAGATCTGGTAACCAGATAAGACAATCAGCAACCAACATTTTTAAAATGATACGTAATACAGTTTTACATAATACTTTACTGTTTTGCAAAATGTTTGTTTTTAAGAACATCTTTGGTGTCCAAAAACTGTATCATTTTTTTTAAATGACATTGCTTATTTCCTGTAATATCGGATAAACGCACCCTCCAGGTAAGGCAATTATTAATCGCTTTTTCAGAGGAAGGCCCTCCCCCTCTGTATAAGATTTACTATATTGCCACATGAGAGACTGTTTTATACCTCACTGGCACAGATCTAATCTCCTGGCAGTCGTTTCTGGAAAGTTATAATCTTAAAGACCTGAAAATGAGGTTTAAATATCAGAGGATTCTGAAAATGATCTTCATCCTATCAGTGTCCCTCTTCTTGCTGAATTATCCAGGACGAAAAACAAACTCTCTTCATAAGGAAGAGCTGGACTTGAATTACTTACTAAAGCAGGATGTTGGAGAACTACAGGCTTGTTCTGCTATTATCCAAGGAGACCTGGATGGAGTGGACAAGGATGTTTTCAGGAAGCTCCTGGCCTCTAAAAAAAGAAAAACTTTGCTATCAGAGTCATTCTACCTCAACGCAACCAAGGATTGTCCATCCTACCTCCGAGACAGAGGATTTCTGACGGTTTCTCTCAGTAAAGAGGAGAAAGTTTTCCCCATTGCTTACTCCATGGTGATACATGAGAAGATCGAGATGTTTGAAAGGCTCCTGAGAGCCATTTACACTCCTCACAATGTGTACTGTGTTCACGTGGACCAGAAGTCTCCTGAGATCTTTAAAGAAGCAGTAAGGGCCATTACGTCCTGCCTGACCAATGTGTTTGTGGCCAGCAAACTGGAGCATGTGATCTACGCCTCTTGGTCTCGAGTTCAAGCGGACATCAACTGCATGCAGGATCTGCTCAAGTCACCTGTCCAGTGGAAGTATCTGCTCAACACATGTGGCACTGATTTCCCCATTAAAACCAATGCAGAAATGGTTCAGTCTCTAAAACTCCTGAATGGAAAGAACAGTCTGGAGTCTGAGGCCGTAGAGGCCAAAAAGGGCCGCTGGCAATATCATCACAACGTTACCAATGTTGTGAAGAAGACCAATGTTAAAAAGTCGCCTCCACCAATAAAGACCCCAATGTTCTCAGGAAATGCTTACTTTGTGGTTTCAAGAGAGTTTGTGGAGCATATCTTCAAAAGCAAAGAGATTCAAGATTTCATGGAATGGGAGAAAGACACGTACAGTCCAGATGAGCACATGTGGGCTACATTACAGCGAATGCCTTCAGTTCCAGGATCTAATCCTCCAAACATCAAGTATGAACAATCGGACATGAATTCAATTGCTCGTCTGGTGAAGTGGAGCTACTTTGAAGGAGAACTGAAGAATGGGGCTCCCTACCCACCATGCACTGGGATGCACAGACGGGCAGTGTGTGTCTATGGAGCTGGGGACTTGAAATGGATTGTACAGCAACACCATCTTTTGGCAAACAAGTTTGACCCAGAAGTAGACGAAGTAGCAATCAAATGTATGGAGGCTTTTGTAAGGTACAAAGCTATTTATGGTCATTCATTACTAACAGTAAAAAAATCTGACATTATTTTATGATGTTTTTAATAAGAGGTACAATATATATTTGTATATTTTAATAAATATTGTAAAAAAAAAATTAAAATCTTTTTTTATTCTTTTTAATAATGTAAATGTAATAGAAAATATAATATAAGCATTTATATATTCTAAGTTGGTCAAAATATTAACAGGATGGTGCAAACTGTCAAATAACTCAAATTAGTAATTTAGTAAAAAAAACTGTGTGTACACTTCAGAGCAGGGGCCTCATTTATAACCGATGCGTATGCACAAAACTAGCCCTGAAAGAGGTGTACGCCACTTCCTGCGCAAAAGGTGGGATTTATAAAAACAAAGTTGACGGGAAAATTTGTGCACCTGCACGCAAACTCATGCGTACGAACTCTTTTTCCTTGAGTGAGAAAATTAATGAAGTAAAAACAATGATTTTAAGCTCTGTTTTCATGTCGATATATACATTTACATAAAATATTTCACTCTCATATGGAGATGAGGACTGAAATTACATAAAGTCATTACGCAGAACTTAAACCAAAATTATATGAATTTAGACATATTTGTAGCAAATACGCTTGATCACTTTTCCTCTTTTATCGACAGCGAGGAGTGCTATAGGTGCACAATAAAATAAATATTGTAAAAAAAAAATTAAAATCTTTTTTTATTCTTTTTAATAATGTAAATGTAATAGAAAATATAATATAAGCATTTATATATTCTAAGTTGGTCAAAATATTAACAGGATGGTGCAAACTGTCAAATAACTCAAATTAGTAATTTAGTAAAAAAAACTGTGTGTACACTTCAGAGCAGGGGCCTCATTTATAACCGATGCGTATGCACAAAACTAGCCCTGAAAGAGGTGTACGCCACTTCCTGCGCAAAAGGTGGGATTTATAAAAACAAAGTTGACGGGAAAATTTGTGCACCTGCACGCAAACTCATGCGTACGAACTCTTTTTCCTTGAGTGAGAAAATTAATGAAGTAAAAACAATGATTTTAAGCTCTGTTTTCATGTCGATATATACATTTACATAAAATATTTCACTCTCATATGGAGATGAGGACTGAAATTACATAAAGTCATTACGCAGAACTTAAACCAAAATTATATGAATTTAGACATATTTGTAGCAAATACGCTTGATCACTTTTCCTCTTTTATCGACAGCGAGGAGTGCTATAGGTGCACAATAATTCATCTTTAAACTGAAGTGCAGATCTCATGTTATGAGAAAATATATTTTAGCGAGAACAATGTTCAATGATGCGCACTTACGTCGATATTATGGCGGACATTATCCGGTTTGAATAGGTCCAATGATAATATCTTACTGTACAACCGCAGCTGCACAGAGGTGTTGATGTCGTGTGAAGTCATCTCTACAACATTATGAAAAGTACCGCTGTATTTGAAGTCTACAACTTGAAGAAAACGGTAAAATGTATACGTTTCCTTTTTAAAATACTTTGTGACACGCCGAGTCACAAAGTACCTACACATTTTACATTCAATATTCCATACTTTTACAGAATTCTCTGTAGATTTTTTTGACAATATTTACCATCAGATAAATGGTTTAAAACTTCCAACTGTTAACATGTATGTTACATTATGACCATGCATGCTATTATGCTGCCAAATTATTTCCAGAATACTGAATCCAGGCAAGTTCAGAAGCAATTAAATCTGCAATACTGCAACACATGATTGCATTTGATATGCTTTCAACACTTTCAATGACTGCATACATTTGAAATACTTCACAGTCATTACAAGTTTTAAGTTAATATTGTCACTGATTACATTTATTTAGAAAATATTATTTTCTAAATAATTCCAGGATATGCTATCCAGTATAATAATATTTGCTATACTATAAATTTAATTTATTTTGAGGCATTATTACTTAACATTAAATTCACTGAGACGTGGACACAAATTTTCGTCTTTATAACAAACAATAAAGTTGAAAATTTTATATGAGCAAAGGTCAGCAGCACAATAAACGAATCAAGAATGTTTAAATGTACATTGTGCAGGATCAAAGCAAGACTTACCATATCTTTGTGAGCATGACTTGTGACCATCAAATGTTATAATCACTTGACTTTATATCGGGTCTGTTTTCTACTTTTAAATATTTTAAAATTTAATTTATTCCTGTGATTGTAAAGCTGAGAAATCAGTTTGGATCAATTTAAATTGTCCTTGCTGTGAAAAAAAATCACTCTATATAACAAACCGTTCACATTTATTCTACACAAATGCATCTATAAACATAAAAATAGGATATGCTTTCTTGCAAAATGGTATAAACAAGATGTATGGTTAAAGTGTGATTACAAAAATAGTAGATGAGACACACACACACACACACACGTTTGTTTCTGTGAATTGTTTTCCATAGACTTCTATTACTTTCATAATGACCAAACTACATTTTCTATCCCCTAACCCTAAACCTATCCCTTACAGAAAACCTGTTTGTATTGTTACACTTTCAGATAAACATCGTTTACTATATTTTTTTCACAATGTCAAAAATTTTAGGTTTGCTTTCCTTTTGGGGACTTTTGGTCCCCACAATGTAGCATAAACAAGTACACACACACACACACACACACACACGTTTGTTTCTGTGAATTGTTTTCCATAGACTTCTATTACTTTCCATAGACTTCTATTACTTTCATAATGACCAAACTACATTTTCTATCCCCTAACCCTAAACCTATCCCTTACAGAAAACCTGTTTGTATTGTTACACTTTCAGATAAACATCGTTTACTATATTTTTTTCACAATGTCAAAAATTTTAGGTTTGCTTTCCTTTTGGGGACTTTTGGTCCCCACAATGTAGCATAAACAAGTACACACACACACACACACACACACACAAGAAAAAAGTGCAGGCCACCTACCTAGAGTGCATGCGTCACTTAAATTCCCTTAACCATCATTTAAGTTAATCTTATAATATTATGGTTTATATTTATGTTATGATTGTTATAATATTATGTTATTACTGTAATGATTTATATTATAATATTGTGATACCTAAATACCTTGCATTCTATGTCAAATGCTGACAAGAGAAAATGAGCATGGCTTGCAGCACCTAAGTTAAAATACTGTGTGTGTGATAATAATAAATATGTAAAAAATTTATTATGTGTTCTCTTATCAGTTTGTGGACAAAATCCCCCAAACTTCACCCTGATCAGGTGCTGGTATGTAGGATATGAGCGCCCATTTGTTTTCAATGCAGCTAACCTCGGGCCGCTTCATGTCATCTACCCACTCATTAAACTTTGATAGTTGAGTCACTGCAAAAAGATGGTCATTGTGTCAGTCATTGCGACAGTGAAGTGATTAAAGTACAGCACCATGATCTTTTTAAAACCATTTTCTGGTTTAACATTATATTATCTGCTTGGAAAATAAATTAATTTTACTAGAACACTGATAACTGAAAATGTAAAGCATCGGGCAAGATTTCCATCAGGAAAAAGGTGGATACTGCACACATCCTTGTGACAGCATTCAAATGAAGTTAGAATAATATGTTATTTTTCTATAGGTAAGCTTTCACACCTCCATTTACTGAAGTATTTACATAACGTGACAGAGCTGGTTTGACAAGTTTATCTCATGGTGCACTCTACTGGAGACTCATTAGATCAGCCCCTCATACGCTGCTCTTAAAGGGATAGTTCACCTTCAGTTGGTCCATATTGACTTGCATAGTACTTTTTTTCCATACTATGGAAATCAATATGGACCAGAAACTGAAGGTGAACTATCCCTTTAAGATGTAGTCTACTTTGAAACACTTTCAAATGTAAGAACACAAAACCAGAAATCAGAAACAATTTTATTTCAAAATTGTAGTTCCAATTCTTACGCTTTTTCCAAGTCATGTGACCACTTTCATGTGACTTCATAAAAAATTATATATATTTTATATTTATTTTCTTAAAGGGGACATAACACACACAGTTTCACCCAATCTCATGTTAATCTTGAGTGCCTATAGAGTAGTATTGCATCCTTCATATCTCCAAAAAGTCTTTAGTTTGATCATATTTACAAAAGAAATATACAGCTTTACGATTCTCTCCGAAAACAGCCGAGCTCCTGGAGGCGTTAACCAAAGGAGGAGGATGAGGAGAAAGATACTGTTCTCCGCCCTCATCCCAGTCCGCTCCAGTGTCGGCTAAAGCCCCGAGTCCACTCCAGTGTCGACTCCAGCCCCTGAGTCCACTCCAGTGTCGGCTCCAGCCCCTGAGATTTTTTAGACAATATTTACCATCAGATAAATGGTTTAAAACTTCCAACTGTTAACATGTATGTTACATTATGACCATGCATGCTATTATGCTGCCAAATTATTTCCAGAATACTGAATCCAGGCAAGTTCAGAAGCAATTAAATCTGCAATACTGCAACACATGATTGCATTTGATATGCTTTCAACACTTTCAATGACTGCATACATTTGAAATACTTCACAGTCATTACAAGTTTTAAGTTAATATTGTCACTGATTACATTTATTTAGAAAATATTATTTTCTAAATAATTCCAGGATATGCTATCCAGTATAATAATATTTGCTATACTATAAATTTAATTTATTTTGAGGCATTATTACTTAACATTAAATTCACTGAGACGTGGACACAAATTTTCGTCTTTATAACAAACAATAAAGTTGAAAATTTTATATGAGCAAAGGTCAGCAGCACAATAAACGAATCAAGAATGTTTAAATGTACATTGTGCAGGATCAAAGCAAGACTTACCATATCTTTGTGAGCATGACTTGTGACCATCAAATGTTATAATCACTTGACTTTGTATCGGGTCTGTTTTCTACTTTTAAATATTTTAAAATTTAATTTATTCCTGTGATTGTAAAGCTGAGAAATCAGTTTGGATCAATTTAAATTGTCCTTGCTGTGAAAAAAAATCACTCTATATAACAAACCGTTCACATTTATTCTACAC